CGAAGGTCGGTTCCACCAGAAGACGACGGCGGATTCCTCTTGACCAGCTGTCGATTGGTGTTACTGGAAGATTCATGCTGTGCTGTTTCCGAGGTAATCTCCTTCGATACCGGTACTAAGCTTTCGTCCGTCATATGACGGACATCATCAGAGCGAGGTAACATCGTCACAACAAAATTCAAGCTGAGTCAAAAAAACTCACCGGCAAATCCATAAAAACTGGTATGGCCTCTTTGATCAAGTATAAAGTGATTTGGTAAGTTAAGGTCATATGTCAACTTCAATGCATGTGAGTGTGTCTGTCTCTGTATGTGTATGTGCCTGTTTGTGTTCGCTTATGCACGAAACCCACAGTAATGGCTCAAAGTAATTAGGACCGCAAAAAGGAACGTTTGTTTTTGGCCATTAAGGTTTGATGACCCCTATCTCCCACTTTCTACTTACATGAACAGGATAGACTCGGCGAAGACTAGAGCTAGTTGGCTGACAGTAAGCCTGTTTTGCGATAGATGTGGTCCATGTAGCAAAGGCTTGACCATGAGACTTACTCAGAGGCTTTAGCCTTGAATTAGTCACCCAGACGCAGGGGATGGGTGATAACGCCTGGAGTAGCACAGATGGGGTGGCAGGGGTCAAGTGAAATACTAGAAGCAGGGAGATGGCAGACGGATCCTACGGGGCAAGATGCAGACTCTGATAAGACGAAAGGAAGGAAGACGGCATAACAATATGGCAGACTCTGATCGACATTCCCGGTACAAGGTTGAAGGGGGGTGAGGGGATGGTGAGAAAGCCAGCATGCTATGCTGAGAGTTATCATGAAGGTCGCTCAAAAGGGCCCACCATACCACATTTAACTAAGTAAGCAAAAAATTGTGATAGTGAATGCGTGATACGAGTATATAGGATTGGTGATTAGCTCAGGGCGTAAGAAGAGATACCACGATTGTTTAGCAGACAATTGGTCAAAGGACAGGCTTCATTTGTCTCTTTTGACGAGTTGTACCGTGGTTCTACGACTGACACTGACGATGCCAGCGAAACGTCTGGGAATGTACAACGTCAGGGGTCCGACTCTGGAAAGTATCATACATATAAAGGACTCCGGACTAGGTGATTTCATCTAAGTATTCCAACCATAATGACCAAGTTGCGAAAACAAGGTCAGACTACTTCTGTACAAGAAGAGGAGACTGCGACCATACAAAAGGCCACATCATCTTGGTCTTCACACCATCAATGTAGTCGATTGTTATAGCAAAAATACGTTCGCTTCATCGGCCATCCCACCAAAGAATGTGATATGGGAAAAGGCCTGGCCTTACTTGAAATTCATGCCTACCCTAACCCAAGGGCACTCGTGGCAATTTGGCCAAGTGATTAACGTATCAAGCTCACATTCTGTACTGTCACGTTTCGACTCCTGCTGGGGGTGTTGATAAGACCTATGCGAGGTCGAAACTGCAGTCCACCCTGAAGTAGAACAACTTTTGGGATAGCAAGGCACTGTGAAATTCAAAGGAAATGCCAGTCTTGCTCATATCATTATGGGAAAATTCTACTGCTAGTCCTTTATCACCTTAAACGAAATAGGGTGAATACATTTCATATAACTGATTAACTGGTAGTCTCGAAACTCTACTTCTATACGAAAAATGTGCAACTTAGCTTTTTACGACAAACAAAAATAAAAATACAGTTAGCTTATACAGTTTCAGCTAGGCAAGAATAAAAAAATCCATTAAAATCAATTTGCAAAAAGTGAAGTGAAGAGCTGAAAGAAAAAGGCGTATAGTGTTAAAAAGGCATGCTGGATCTGGAAAATATTACCATAATCAAACATAGATCCGGATCCGGTAGTTACGAGAGTTGAGGGAGGCGTTGCTAAAGTTCCAATCTCTTGGTAAGCGCTATCGTTGTCAGTAGCGGAGACAAGCGACAAATTCTCGTCTTCGCGCATGCGAGGATGAACCAAGAATCAGGCAGGTATGGGATAGGAAGAGGTTGCTTACAATTAGTGAACCGTATAGGAAACAGGAAAGATCGATGGAGAATGAGAACTTAGGAAATTTGATAGAAACCAAGCAAAAGTGGTACAGAGGATTGGTATGTTTGACGCGAACCAGGATTGGTAAATCAGAAGTTTGAAAGCCACAAAAAAGGGCAAGTTAATCGATTGAGATATAAAGTAGATTTGAAGAAAATGAAATGTGAAAAGATATGATTCTGAAAAAATAACAATGAAGTAACAAG